ATATATAATTATTTTTTTCCGGAATTTTCAGGAAAGTCCACTTTTATCTCTGAATATGCAAAGTTGTCAGTCCCAATGGCAACGTAAGATGGCTGCCCTCTGACTTTAGTTGCGAGGGACCAAATTTTAGTCCATTCTTATGTCAATCCATGGTTGACCCATGATGGGAAAGTCAGTATAGTTCGCTTGCATACATTCCAGAGCAATGCATTCTGGGGGATCTTTTTTTATCCCTCATCCATTTTGGGAGAGTTACACGCGCTGCACGCATGCACACACAGCTCTTAACAGTGATCATCAATTTGTTTTATGATGGCATTTTCAAAGTATTTTGATGACTTGCTAGCTGATCTACAACCCCGATACCGGCAGAAAGTTACTCTGTTCAGAGGAAGCGACCCATACGTGCTGTCCAAACCTGATTTCTCAGCTCAGATACCAACATTGTTTACTACTTGGGAATGACGACATGCTCTGTGATACATGTCAGATGAAAGCACACAAATTACTGGAGGATTCCAACTATTTTGTCAGTGGATGGGCGTAAACTTCAATATAGTCTCAAAAGAAGCTGTTTAAATTGTTGCACGGGTGAGTAAACTGTTGTTAAAGTTGTATAGTAATGGTTGGCTCTATTGCACATACAGTAACCACACAGTGCAGTAACGGTGTCATTCTACCATGAAAAAAGTTGTCATTAGCGTATTATCTGCATATTATTGAACATAGTAATGTGATGATGAAGCTTCACATTTGTCAACTTTTTTGAATGTTTTCAGCTTGACTGCTGCATTTAGCTTGTTGAGATGGTAAATCAATTCTCGGTCCTGTGACTTGCAACAGTGAAAGACAGATAAATGATTGGGATGTCGTATTGCTTATTCAACTGGGACTTTATTCTATACCAGCCTGCCTCAACTGGCGGACCGCGATCCACGACCGGACCGCCGACCTCCTCTGTCCGGACCTCCTCTGTCCGGGCCCTCGGCAAATTGTATAAAATAATAAATTATAAAGTGATTTTTACGTTATACATTTTATATTTGTGGACTATAATCTGCGCATTACCGCGATCGCTTGTTAAAATTATCCGTTGTATTCTTTGCGTGCACGAACAGATGTATTGCAGCGCGACTGTGTGTTGTATCATGTTTGACTAACTGGAGACCATGGCTAAGCAGGGCATGTCGGTGATAACGATGCGCTGATTGGCTCCTCTGAACTTAAGGTGTCCCCATACATAAGCGTCTGCATATACGATGCGCTGATTAGCTCCTCTGAACTTAATGTGTGCCCATACATAAACGTCAGCACGCGTCTATCCCAACACACACCCATTCAAAATGGATGATTGTGTCAGGAAACAGACGCATGCGCGACGCCACAGTGTACTCACAGCTTCAGTCCAGGAGAGCCGCACACAGACAATTAGACAAGACGAATCG